CTCTCTTCCCCCGTTCTCCTCCCTGTTCAAAGCCCAAATCTCGTCGCCTTCTCCAAGGTTCTCCTCGTCGTTTCGTTGTCGCCCTTGCCGTCATGTCGCCTTCTCTCAAATTCCTCCTCATCGTCCCGTCGCCGCCTCCCCCCTCACGCCCGCGCCCTTGTCATCCCCCTCTCAAATTCCTCCTCACCTCCCCCTCGCCGCCCCTTGTCGTAGTCAATTGACTCAATTCACGCCTCCGCTGACATGTAAGTAGTCTTACTCTAAACCCTAACCCTAATTTCCCCTTCCTCAAAACCCTAACCCTAATTTTAATTTCTGACCATAGTTTCCCTCTCTTTTACAGCAAATTATTTGCTGGTTACTCCTCTTATTCCAGCCGAGAAACTTAAGGTAATTTCTGCAATTTTTCTCAATTTATTTTCATACAGTTTGTGATATTGTGATATTGTGATAAACTTAAGGTAATTTCTACAATTTTCTTAATTTCTGTAATTAGATAATATGGGAGGGTGATATCAAGGTTTTAAATGTCGGATGTCGGGTTCATGTCGGATGGCTGAAATCCATATCGGATAGTGAAAATCGGGGATATATCGGGGTACATTGACTAAATATCGGATTGTCATATCGGATAGTGCCCATATGTATAATATAATGTCCTAATGTAATCTAAACATTCATAAATTCAATATAAACATACTTTATAAATTCTATAGACTAAACATATAAAAAATAAAATATATGGATTTGGGTTCATAAATTCTTTCTATCGGGTTCATAAGAAACCCTTAAACATGAGAACGGGTTCTATCGGGTTCATAAGAAACCCTTAAACATGAGAACGGGTCAAACGGGTTTGGGTATTTATCACTAAATCCAAACCCGGGTCAAACGGGTTTGGGTATTTATCACTAAATCCAAACCCGATAACAAAAAACAGATCTTAAAAAAAATTACCAAATCGGCCGATTTTTTAAAGCTAAAAAATAGGCCGATATGCCCGATATGACCCTGATATTTTCGATTTGGCCTTGAAAATCGACATATGAGTTGAAAACATCCATGTCGTGTCAGTCAAGCCCTCAAACCGATATGTCGGCCGACATGTCCGACATGTCGGTCGATATTTAAAACCTTGGGTGATATTGTAAAGTTCTCATTTTTGTCATACAGTGTGACAAAAAATACAGCTTCTAATATTATTTAATCCATAATTAGATAATATTTTGCCCTATTTCATCAACACTTATAATCAATTATGAACCCTAAATTAAATATAGTGATGACCTAATTAAACGAAACTTTTAATACTAAACTTAATTTGTAATAACTTAAATAAATTTATTAATCATTTCTAACTGTAAATATGACCCTAAATTTAATTAATCCTATATTAAATTATACAAATGTGATTATATAAGTTTGTGATTTGAAAATGCGTTGTTATGAAAGAAAATGTTTTAAAAAAATAGAGTGATATATAACGCAATATTATATAATAATGTGTTATATATCCAATTTAGGTGGAAAAAAAATATAATGTTGTCCCTAGACTCCCGTCCAATATTACATCCAATTCTTTGATGTTATAATATAAGATAAACAAGTCAAATTTGGGTAGGAGATAAAGTTTTCTACTAAAAAATGATCATTCACTTTATATTATAATAGAAAAGAATTGGTATAGAAATTTACAATTATTGGATCGGTCCTTCTCGGACGGGTTAGCAATATAGTAGTGCATACATCCAATTTTGTATACTTTGTATGTTTTTATTTCTTGAAAATTTCGACAGCTCGTACTCGTTCTCCGTGTACAATAAGCGTATGTTATTCTGCGTTTTGGTCTGTTTCCAATACGCATAACAACATCCGCACAGTGTACAGAAAGAACGGTGGGTAGGTGCTGCCGTATACAAAGTATATGAAGTTGGATGTAAGCACTATTATATTCTTAATGGTATAGAAATCTTCCTATGACAGCCGTTAGAGTGTGCTAATTAGTCTTCATACCTTAATAAGTTTCAAACATACCTCAATGACCCTAACTTAAATGCTACACCGTAGGTTTTGAATAGTTTAAAATTTATTAGTTTACTACCTGTTCTCAAATAGTTTCTAAATATATATATTATCTACAGATGAGGAAGATTTAGATGAGGAAAATTCCTGATAAGTCATGGATAGATATCCCTAGGATCCAACGGTATCGCGATCGACGTTATAAGAATGGATGTGAAGCCTTCATGAAGTATGTCGAAATGAACCCAAAAAAATTTAAATAGCGGTGCAATGTACTGCCCCTATTGTAGGTGTAAGAATATGAAGCTGAAAAATAGAGAAAATACGAACCCACTTAGCAAACTTTGGGTTTTACGAGGAATATAAATATTGGTCCTATCACGAGTAAGGCCGTATTGAAGATGAAGTACCGGATGTGCATGTCGATACCAGTCATGGTTTCAAGATAGATGATACAGAAAATTTACAAACTGATATTGGACCTGACCATACCGAATATGATATTAACAATGATAGTGATTTACAAACTGATATTGGACCTGACCATACCGAATATGATATTAACAATGATAGTGAAGATGATATCATAGATGATGTCCAATACCGAATATGATATTAACAATGATAGTGAAGATGATATCATAGATGATGTCCAAGATGCAACTGAGATCGAAGATGTTGATGGCCCAGAAGGTTTTGGAAATGCTCATGTTTCTGAGGACTTGGATCGAATAATAAAACTACTAAAGGATAGTGAAAAGGATTTGTATGAGGGTTGCACCGAGTACTCCAGATTTTCATTTATGTTGGAGCTCCTGCATATTAAGAGCCTCAGTGAATTGGAAAATACTTATTTTGAAATGCTTCTTGATTTGCTACGGAAGGTAGTTCCAGGAGGAGCGTAGCATTCCTAAAGCAAATAGTTTCCGATTTGGGGCTTGATTATAATAAGATTGATGTGTCCCAATGATTGTATTCTCTACTACAAGGATAATAAAGACCTTCAGGAATGTCCAACATGTGGAGTGTGTCCCAATGATTGTATTCTCTACTACAAGGATAATAAAGACCTTCAGGAATGTCCAACATGTGGAGTATCTCGATGGAAACAACACACCCGCTCTAAGACCTTCAGGAATGTCCAACATGTGGAGTATCTCGATGGAAACAACACACCCGCTCTTCAACAAGGCGGTCAACAGAGCCAATAGAGATGCAGAGAGAGCAAGATTCCAGCTAAGGTGCTTCGCCATTTTCCATTAGTTTCTAGATTGCAACGCCTGTATATGAATAAAGACGTCGCTAAGAACATGAGGTGGCACAAAGAAGGTCGTATAGAAGATGGTAAATTGAGACATCATGCTGATGCGAAGGCTTGGAAGCATATTGATAAGACTTTCCCCAATTTCGCTCATGAATGCAGAAATGTTAGACTTGGGCTATCTAGCGACAGATTCAATCCGTCAGGGTTATGAGTTCAGGTTGGTCTATATGGCCAGTTGTCTTAATGCCATATAATTTATCACCCTTGCTTTGCATGAAACAACCGTATATGATACTCTCATTGCTGATACCCGGTAAGCATGCACCAGGGAATAATATTGATGTCTACTTAGAGCCCTTAATTGATGAGCTAAAACAGTTATGATCGGAAGGTATGTTGATCTATGATGCACATGCTAAAGAGTCATTTTGACATCGTGCTATTCTAATGTGGACAATTAATGATTTTCCAGCTTATGCTAATCTTTTCGGTTGGTCTACAAAAGGCAAGTTTGCTTGTCTAGTATGTGGTCCAAAATTTGAAGGCCTTCACTTACCATATAGTCGAAAGTATTGTTATTGGTTCAACAGGAGATGGTTGTCCTTGGGCCACAGATACAGAAAATAGAGCAATAAGTTTGACGGCACCGTTGAGACTAGGACTAAACAACGTCAAATGACCGACGCTGATATTGTAAAGAAGCTTGAGCATCTTCCAAAAATAAGATTTGGTAAGAACCGATATTCTAAGGACGACTCACTGGGTCGAGCAAAAAGAAAGACACTAAAGAGGAAGAGAGCAATCCAATGGGCATATGTTGATAATGGAGTCGAGAAATTACCAAAGAGATGGAGTAAATTCAGTATCTTCTTCCAGCTACCATATTGGCAAAAGCTTAAAATCAGACATAACTTGGATGTGGAGTAAATTCAGTATCTTCTTCCAGCTACCATATTGGCAAAAGCTTAAAATCAGACATAACTTGGATGTCATGCATATTGAGAAAAATGTTTGAGCTACCATATTGGCAAAAGCTTAAAATCAGACATAACTTGGATGTCATGCATATTGAGAAAAATGTTTGTGACAATATAGTTTCAACACTCCAACTTCAAGAACCTAATAAGTCAAAGGACGACCTAAGGGCTCGTCAAGACTTAGCTGCATTGAATATCCGGGAAAAGTTGCAAGCACAAGATGTTGGACTTAAGAAAAAACATAAGCCTTCCTCTCGTGTTATGATGTCGACAGAGCAGATGCAGAATTTTTTTGAGGTCCTCAAATCAGTAAAGTCACCGGATGGGTATTTAGCTAATATATCAAATAATGTTCAGGTGTAGGAGAAGAAACTTTTAGGCCTAAAGACTTATGATTATCACATTCTTCTACGTCAATTGCTCCCGGTTGCATTGCGTAATAATATGGAGAAAGATGCATCGAAAATTATTATGGAGTAATGTGGATTCTTCAGAAAATTGTGCTCTAAAGTAGGGCTATGCAAACGGTCAGTTGTTTCGGTTTTTATCAAATTTTGAACCGAACCGAACCGCCCATTATTCAAGACCGAACCGAACTGTTGTAAGTCGGTTCGGTTCGGTTCTGTTCTGTTTGTTCGGTACTAATCAATTAATAGACTTATCCACATACTGAAATAACATTCAAACTTCTAAATAACATTCAAGAAAACTGTCACAAGAAACAAATGGGAGCAAACCTCTGCACTCTCCTGCAACCATGCTTCACCAAAATGCACGATGAAGTCGCTGATGAAGATACATCGTCAGAAGTAAGAGAATCCATAGTTGAGCTCTTTTTGGACTGTAAACTTGTCAAGTCTGATGATGAATATGTGAAGCCTACATTAGAGCAGTGGATGTTAGCTTCCCCTTTGTGAGACTGCAAGCATAAGAAAAAGCATAAGAAAAATGTTCAGCCCGTGAACAACCGAAATTTGATTACTGAAAGTGTCTATCAGGCTGCAAAAGTGTCTAAGTGAAGAGATTTCCTATTGGGAATGACCTACATTTCCCAAACAAAAAAAGCCAACAACCAAGAAGAACCACATTTCTCAGGATCTATAAGTTGCAAACTGATCAATCCAAGAATGGTTACAATCATTAGTTATTGCACTAATCAGATTTCGTATTAGTTAAATCATGCAAACTGTAACATTTATAAAAAGAAGCAAACTTTCTTCATTGCAAAGTTGTTCTCTGATTATAATTAATCAAATTTACATAAACTTAGCGAAAATTTTATCAGACGATCAAATCGAAAAATCTACAAGAGCAATTGAGAGATCCCCAAAAACCGAACAAGAAACAAAGATCGGAGCTTAACCCTAACCCTAGAATGAAGAAGACCGAATTGAAACCCTAAGCTCTTATTTGAAATTAACCCGAAGGATTGGAGTCGCTCGTTGGCGATCGGAGTTGAGGCTGGAATCCAAATCGCCGATCGTGTGATATTGTTGAGAGGAAATGCCGAAGTTGGCCGGGCGGAAGCAGGACTGCGGCTGGGCGAAGTGTGGCAGCTGCGGGTGGGCGGAGAAAGTGCCGAAGTGAGCTGGCGGCTGTAGTTAGAGACTTGAGGGGAGCTAGGGTTTGTATCATTTGAGGGATTTTAAGTGGGTGTTTATTTCAAATCCTATAAGGGGCTGTTTGGTTCGTTAAAAGAATTGGAAATGGGAAGAAAAGGAAATGTTTTCTTAAATATTGGTCCATTTCTTGTGTTTGGTTCACTTCTTAAAAGTAAAAAGGAAATGAGATGAGATGAGTTGTCATTATATTATTGGATGATGTGAGTGATTTTTAAATAAAACTTATTGGAGGTTCTTTTCTTGTGTTTGGTTGGCTAAAAAATAAGGAAAAGACTTAAAAGGAAAAGACTTTCCTTGTTTAGATTCCTTTATTGTGATTGGTTCATTCTTAAAACTAAGAAAAGAAATGAGATGAGATGAGTTGTCATTATATTATTGGATGATGTGACCCACACTTAAGGAAACTCATTTCCTAGTTTTTTTGGAGGAAATGGGTGGAGATGAAAGTTTAAGGAGATGAGATGAGTTGTCACCATATTATTGGATGGTGTGATTGATTTTTAAATATGAGATGTGATGAGATGAGATGAGTTGGATGATGTGATGATAAAAATAATTTTTTATTAGATGTTGGATGATAAAAGTAATATTTTATTGGATGAGTTGGATGATAAAATAATATTTTATTAGATGAGTTGGATGATAAAATAATATTTTATTGATTGTTGTGGTAAGTTTTAGGAATGGAAATGGTTGAGAATAGGAAATGGGAGATTATAATAATATTTTAATACAAAAAGTACATGGAAATCCTTTTCTTGGTTTTTAGGAAACCAACCAAACAGCCCCTAATTTTAGGATATAAATTTCACCATGGGATTTGAAATCCATAGGTAATTTGTTAGGACAAATTTTCAAAACCGACCCATTTGGGTTTTTAATTGCAAAAAATGACCGGTTTTGAAAATATTTACAAAAACCGACCTGTTTTCAGCCAGGGACTGAAAACAGGTCGGTTTTTTTAAATTTTTTCGGGAAACTTCACGGGAGTTGAACTCCTGGCTGAAAACAGGTCGGTTTTTTTAAATTTTTTCGGGAAACTTCACGGGAGTTGAACTCCCGTGAAGTTTTTTCTCATAACAAAACTTCACGGGAGTTGAACTCCCGTGAAGTTTGGGAAAATTTTTTTTAAAAACCGACCCAGTTTCAACCAACTGGGTCGGTTTTTATAATTAAAATTAAAATGGGTCGTTTTTTACAATTAAAAACCCAAATGGGTCGTTTTGAAAATTTATAATTTGTTATGAGTTGGGATTCTTAAAACTTTGTTTGTTTCAAGGACAAAATTTTGAAACCATCCTTTTTTTTAATTTTATTAAGCAAATTTGACCATCGAGATAAAAAATGAGCAAAATCGACCCTTTTGAGAAGAAAAGGATCGGTTTTGCAGCCAAAATTTTTAGCGAACTACACGGGACTACTAGTCCCGTGCAGTGCACTTTAATTTCGACCCCCACCAACCTTTCATGCATGTGTGGGGAGAGAGAAAGCGTGGGGGACAGAGAAATTTTTTAAGAACGAATCTCTCATTCTCTCTCTTCATCTCATTCTTTCTTCTTCTCTATCTCGTACACACACACTCTCTCCTCCATTCCCCAAGAAAACCAACTCAGCTCACCCACTCTCTCCTCGTTCTCCTTCTCTCTCAACCCGCATCCCCAGCTCCTTGAGCTTCGCCCACAGCCCTCGAGCTCCAGCCGAGCCCATCGCCGCCTCGACCTCCACCTCAGCACTCTTCTCCGCCTCCTCCACCACCTCCAAACCCCCCACGCCGTCGAGCTCCGCCACCACCCCAACCAATCCCCGCTGTCTGGGCTTGTCATAGGTAGGAGGAGGTTGTCGGGGTCGTCGGGGTGTCTCGGTGGGGATCCGGCGGTAGGAGCTGGAGACGTGGCTGTCGTCGGACAGCGGCGAGGTGATGGAGGGTGGAGAGGAGCTTGTGGAGGGCGGTCGGCATGCTGCAGCGAGCTTGAGGAGTTGGACGGCGGTTGGTTATTCACAAGCTCCTCTCCACCCCTCATCACCTCGCCGCTGTCCGACGACAGCCACGTCTCCAGCTCCTACCGCCGGATCCCCACCGAGACACCCCGACGACCCCGACAACCTCCTCCTACCTATGACAAGCCCAGACAGCGGGGATTGGTTGGGGTGGTGGCGGAGCTCGACGGCGTGGGGGGTTTGGAGGTGGTGGAGGAGGCGGAGAAGAGTGCTGAGTGGAGGTCAAGGCGGCGATGGGCTCGGCTGGAGCTCGAGGGCTGTGGGCGAAGCTTAAGGAGTTGGGGATGCAGGTTGAGAGACAAGGGGAACGAGGAGAGAGTGGGGGAGCTGGGTTGGTTTTCTTGGGGAATGGAGGAGAGAGAGAGTGTACGAGATAGAGAAGAAGAAAGAATGAGATGAAGAGAGAGAATGAGAGATTCGTTCTTAAAAAATTTCTCTGTCCCCCACGCTCGCTCTCTCCCCACACATGCATGAAGGGTTGGGTGGGGTCGAAATTAAAGTGCACTGCACGGGACTAGTAGTCCCGTGTAGTTCGCTAAAAAATTTTGGCCGCAAAACCAACACTTTTCTTCTGAAAAGGGTCGTTTTTGCTCATTTTTTATCTTGAGGGTCGATTTTGCTTAATAAAATTAAAAAAAGGGGTGGTTTCAAAAATTTGTCCTTGTTTCAATAATATTTTAGGATTTGGAATACTATAATTTGTAATATTTTTATTTGTTTCAAACTTTTTTGGAATTTGAAATCCATAATTTGTATAAAGCTTTTGAAATTCACTCCACATCCCACCCAAAAAAGAGTATTTCACAAATCCTTAAATATAATACTTTTTTATTATTTGGGATTTGATATCCTAAAAGTTATTTTAAAACAAACAAGTTTTATGGAATTCTAAAACCCCAAAAAACCTCTTTTTACATCCCAAAACTTAAAATACATACCATATCCCAAAAAAAAATGAAACAAACACCCCCTAAGTGAACTAGTATCAACGGGTCGGGTATACGGGTCAAAAAACGTATTAAAGTGATGCGGTCGATCCGGGTAGTTCGGGTTGAAAACTTTTCAACCCGACCCGAACCGACTTACAAATAAAACTGACACGAACCATTAATTTTAGTTAACCCACAATGTCCTTACTATGAAGTGAGACAATACAGTGAACACATCATTAATGGGTATAAGTTTAAAACAGCGGTGACCGATGATAAGAGGGTAACACAAAATAGTGGGGTCATGGGCTGTTTTGCTCAGGAATGTTTTTCTAGCATAAGAGATCAGAACCCAATTGAAGCTGATATATTATATTACTAGCAAAAAAACCCCGCGTAATGCGGGGAGAATGAAGAATGCATACTCAAAGATTCTGCACTAACAATTAAAACATTCTGGAGAAATCTAGTAACGGAGATAATGGCATCACTCTCACTTTTGATCCCAACTACATGATCATCTGCAAACATGAAGCCCAAATAATGTTAAACGAAGAAGAGGAGCTCCTTTGTAGTTCACATCAGAATTCAATAATAGCATAAACTTCTACACTAACCATGATCCACTCAAACTAATTCAGATTCATGCTCATAAACAAATATCTATTCAGATATGGATTCAATAATATTTGCACAAACAAAAAAGTCAACGCTTAAAGAAAGCAAGCAGCAAACTTTATATGTTAACATAAAAATTCAAGGGATAAGAAGGGGTTTAATTTACCTGGATAGGAAGTGATGCAAGAAACAAATCAACCACACAACCATCATAGCTAGTGAGGCATTGATCTCACCTACTCGACTACGCACACCATTATATTTAGTTATTGCGAATTATCCAGTCAAAGATAGTATCTCAAAACAACCCTGCATATCTTTATTAATGGTTAGGCTCATATTTCATCACAAAAGTATCTACATGATGAAAACAAAATCTAATTATGATATTGATGGATAAAATAAATAGGACAAGCAAGGCTCCAATAATTTAAGGGCAACTGTGCAAAGGCAAAATGTTAAAGCAAAGTTGCATCAAAAGCATATTGTGAATGTAGCTACTTGATCTTCGTGAAACACATAATCTACTTCAAGCTCCAGGTTAAGATTTGATCCCAAACACCACTAAGCTTCTTTGTTCTTGTCAATAGTCAAAATCCATAAAAAATTGACACTTAATGCTTGCCATATGAAGAATAAGTTAGGACAAAACACGAAGAACATTCATACACACTTCATAAGCATATCAACAATCTTAAAGAACTTAAATCACAATAACACAAGATGCTAAGCATCAACATTAATGAAAAAAGTGACATAATTAAAATGATTTTTTTGGGGTAAAATTGCAACGAAAGTCGAAGAAAAAAAGGACTTTTGGAGTGATAGAGTGGTTAGAGCTCAGCTAGAGGACTCTTGGATTCAAACCCAAAAGTAGGAGATTTCTAAGAAATCCACAGATGAAGAAAGACTTATTTCATGAGGCGCATAATACCAAGTACACAGTGCATCTAGGCACAACTAAAATATACAAGGATCTGAAGAGATAATTTTGGTAGAGCGGCATGCATGGAGAGATTGTGGATTATGTAGCTAAGTGCCTCACCTGCCAGCAAGGGAAGGCAGAACATCAGAGACCAACAGGAAGCCTACAACTTTTACCCATTCTGAAGTAGAAGTGGGCAGATATTTCTATAGATTTCATTGTATGATTACCAAGGTCGAAGAAGGGGAACGATTCTATTTGGGTGATAGTTGATTAGTTGACGAAGTCAACACATTTCATACCAGTGAAGACAACTTATACGGTAGAGACTTATGCGAGGATATTCATTCAGGAGATCGTGAGATTGCATAGAGTTATAGAGACGATTGTGTCAGACCGAGGCTCAGTTTTCACTTCACATTCTTGGAGGAGCTTCCAGAATTCTTTCGGTAGCCAGTTGTCGTATTCTAGTATTTTCCACCCGCAGACAGATGGACAAATTGAGAGAGTGAACCAAGTATTGGAGGACATGTTGTGGGCACGTGTTATAGATTTTTAGGGTAGTTAGGAGCACCACATCCCATTGATTTAGTTTGCTTATAACAATAATTATCAAGTGACTATTAGCATGACACCGTATGAGATATTGTATGAGAGACCTTGTAGATCGCCTATTTGTTAGGCAGAACCATAGGACAACTTTTTGCTTAGACCAAAACTCACGAGACTAACTATAGAGAAGTAGCACTAATTCGGGAGCGCATACTTGTAGCGCAGAGTCGTCAGAAGAGTTACGCAGATCAGAGATGACGACCGTTAGAGTTCCAGGTTGGGGACTATGTCTTGTTGAAAGTATCACTGACGAAGGGAGTTTAGTGATTTGGTAGACGAGAAAAGCTTGCCCGAGATATATTGGTTCGCTTAAGATAGTTGAGCGCATTGGAGCCGTTTCGTATCGGCTAGATCTTCTAGCATCGATGTCATTGGAGCCGTTTCGTATCGGCTAGATCTTCTAGCATCGATGTCGAGTATACATGATGTTTTCCATGTTTCGATGCTCAATAAGCATTTACACTATGACGAGCAACATCGAGTGTTAGATGCGCTAGAGATTGAGCTACAGGATGATTTAACTATGATTGAGATTCCAGTTTGTATTCTTGTCAAGGAGGACAAAAGACTTAGAAATAAAGTGATACCTTTAGTTAAAGATCAATGGAACTGGAAATGAGCTGGGAAGGTTTCTTGGGGGAGCGATGAGGATATGCATCATGATGATCCGCACCTATTTGAGGAAGTAAATTGTTTGGTTATGATATGTCTGTGTTTATGGTTATCTATATGCTCATATTTATACTTAACGCTAGAATGGTGGTATTAACACTTAGCTCCTAATTATTTGGAACACATGATATATATATATGGGGGGTTCCTTATTTGGATTTTTTGTCTGACATACTTGTTTCGCTTAGTTAGGGTTTAAGTGTGAGTATTTGTATTCTAGACTATTAAGTATAGATATTGAGAAGGATTCTAGGGAGCGCAAAGATGTTATACGTCGTGACTACCTACACATGTTTGAGCAAGCAAATTGATTGATTTTGATTGGTGTTCATGATTATCTATATTGTTATGTTTATACTTAACGCTAGAATGGGAGAATTAACACTTACCTCCAATCATTCGGAACACATGGTATATATATGGGGGGTTCTTTTTTGGATTTTTCACCCGACATACTTGTTTCGCTTAGTTAGGGGTTAAGTGAGAGTATCCGCATTCTAAATTGTTAAGTGTAGATATTGATATATTTCATATTTAGAGATTAATGGTACTAGATGTGTATGTAAGAGTTTCCTTGTCTGGATTATCCTATCAACGTATTTTTCTGGTATTATTAATCTCTGAGATACGATTGCGGAATTTCGAGGACGAAATTCTTTTAAGGGGGAAGAATGTAAAATCCTGTAAATTTAAATATATTGTGATAAATAATAATAAATATGTTATATAGTGATAAATAACATATATTGATGATTGAGTATGCTAGGAATTGATTTGAGAACAATTCAATGTATATATGTGAGTGTAGAAGAGAATCATGCATGAAACATGCACAAACAGACTGATTTCAGTGTGTCTAGTCGACTACTATCCGTAGTAGTCGACTAGTAAGGTCATTAGTCGACTAATAATAAAATTAGTCAACTAGTCGGGCTCTTTCCAGATTCCTAATGGGTTTCGAGTCGGATTCGTTTTGTTTTGAGCCTAGCTTATATCTATGTATGTATACATGTTTTAAACATTATCCCTGCACTTTTCACGAAAGTTCACAGCCACCCTCTCCTCTCAAACCATAGATCTTGTTTTTGGTGTTTCTCGAGGAGATTCGAGATGTATAAGCGTGCGAAGGGCGAGATCGTGGGCTTTTTGTCGAAGAGAGATCTTGCACACATGTTTGAGGAGCTGCAACACGTTGTTGAGGTAAGATCATCTTCATCCAAACCTATCCATGTAGTTAATAATTGTTTTAAGATATTTACAATGATGTTTTTCATGATTAATCTTAACTTGATGTGATAAAAATTAGATTTTTGATGTTAAATCTTAAACTCATGCTAGATCTATAGTTTATACTTGTTGTTTATGTTAGATTCATGATCATGATCATTAGGGTTACTTTTAAATTTCGTTTTTAATTTGTTAATCATGCTCTAATCATGTTTAAACCCTAGTTTTGCAATTAAATGAGTTTTCTTGTTAATTAAAGATGTTAAAACCTAGGTTTGTGATACCTAAGTTCTGTAAACATGGTTAAACGAATTTATATCTGTTCTAAGTTAATTTGCAAACATGCTTATGCTAATCATGTTAATAGTCCATGTTTTAATTGAGAAATATGCTTAATTAGGATGTTAACCCTAATTAGATTTATTTAAAGAGTTTAAATATTGTTGTAATAATCCATGTTTAATAATTTATAAAGTTTAAACCTTGTTTATGCTTCAGGATAATAAAGTTTAAGTTTTGAACAAGTTACAATATACGAAACATGCTCAGGAGATCAAACAGACTAGTTTCAGTCTATCCAGTCGACTACTACTGTTAGTAGTCAAATAGTAATGCCATTAGTTGACTAATAAGGGTATTAGTCGACTAGTTGGGTTGATTTCCAGTTTTCAACCGCACGACGATACACGTACAGTCATGAATACACACGAACAGTGTCGTAGCGCACACATGAGTATCCCAAAGGGGATAATGTTAAGCATTGATCCGTTTATATTTGAGATATAAGATATATACACGTGATACACATGTTTGGATATCGTTGATGAGCACAACTCAGCACTACTTGGGATAGTGTGTCGATATACCATATGTACATGCCATTGAGTTGGGTCTTAGGATGTTTGAACTAGCAGTCCGTCCCGCACTAGGGTGCGATGAGGATTGTGAGCCGTATTTCTAGGATGGCTATTTGATAGTCCATCCTGTACTCGTATTACGTACAGAGATGCGATGAGACTAATGAGTCATGTACACAGTCAGGATACCAACTTGGTAGTCCGTCCCACATAATAATGCGATGAATCATAACTTGTAAAGATTTGCTTTGTGATGATTATTGATATCCTGAGTCTTTGGTGGATGCCATTTATGAACATGATTCATTGCTGAGATATATGACCGAGGTACTTTGTTCTTGAAAGTACGCAAGATTATTACTATGCTGATATTTATTTTATCTTCCAAATGATAGTGAAAGATATTATAAATATGATACATTGATGTCTTTACTTTCTCGTATTGTTTCCTTTTATTATTTGTTGAGATCGATGATTAGCGATTCACAATTTGAGATATATGGTATATACATAAGGGTTTCCTTGTTTGGATTATTTCGCTCGACGTATCAGTCTCGTGTTGTGAGTTTCTAATTATTGATTTTATTTAGATTGTCTATTTTTAGTTTGGTATTAATATTTAGATAACTACAATTTGAAACATATGATATATACATGAGGGTTTTCTTGTTTGGATTATTTTGCTCGATGTACTACATCTCATGTTATAGGTTTTTAAATATTAATTCTACTTAGATACATGGTAAATGATTTAGGTAGATTATGCTTAATAGGTAGAGCCTCCACTTCATCTAGTAGCCCTTCCGCTGGGGGCAAATGGATGTGATCTTGTTGTAGCGCCTTGACGTTCTTGTTATTGTTGTTTTTAATTTTTCTCAGGTAGCTCAGAGCTTCGGAGAGCCGTAGAATGACAGACTTCCATCATAGTCGTCGTCACTCAGTTTTATTAGTTGAGACTCCACCTTAGATTTTTATATTTATTGTTCAGACATTAGAGTTTTGTATTTCATTTTGTAAGGGCTGTGTGCCTTAGTTCATTTTCAGTTGACTCATGTGAGATACTTCATTTTATTTCAGACATTAGATGTATTTCAGTTTATTCAGTTGAGACATGATTTTAGTTATGAGATATATCTTTCTACATCATGTCTATTGCATTTATTTTCCTTATTTTGCCTATTTTGTACCTGCACTTATATTTAATTCCACTAGAGGATATAACTGTGATTGGCAAAATGTTTTGATGCATAGTGTGGATGCATGACAGGTTTGACATCTCTGGGTTCACCTTCACTACAAGAAATTACATCTTTAACGAAGGGATTTCCCTTTGTTAAAAAGCTGAAAACCTTCGTTATTGTATGCTAATGACGGGAAAAAAAATCCTTCATCACCCGTTGTTGAAGCCCTCTTCACTAAAGGGTCACGAAGGGATATACTACCCGTCGTTATAGAGTCTATAACGACGGAACATATTACCATCGTTAATATTTACGACGGTAATTATCACCGTCGTTACTATCAGTGACGATGATATTTTCCCGTTGTTACCATCAATGACGAGATATTTTCCCGTCGTTACCATTAGTTACGGGGATATTTTCCCGTCGTTATCATTAGTTACGGGGATATTTTCCCATCGTAAAAGTCCTCATAATGGGTAATTAGTATCCCATTAACGACGGTGCTTTCCCTTCGTTGATGAATAAAATACGGTTTATAAAACCATCATTGTAGACTACAAATTTCTAATATACATTAATAATAATTTTTCCATCCATAGACAACTATCATATTATTCTCAACCTGACACTAAGATTCACAACACAAATATATTAAAAATACCCAATAATGAATAAAAGGGAAAATAAAAATTCTATTCATTAATAACATCAATAAATAAAATTCCACCATCCTCAAATATTCAATACTAATAATAAGAATTAATATCCTAATTGTTCCAAAGAAAAATACATGAAACTATCTATAACATTAAAATAAAAGTTTGGGGAAGACACATTATTTCATCCCTAATCATCGTCAAAAGAAGACTCGAGCTACACCACCTCTCCTAATCTTGCATGGATAGCCTGAAAAATTTAAAAAAATCACATAATTAAGAAATATCAATTAAGCAAATATTATCTTATTAAGTAAAATTCACATAATTAAGAAATATCAATTAAGAAAATATTATCTTTTTCTATTTGCATTCTTAATTACCTCTTCTGCAGATGGACGATTCTTAGGATCAAATGCAAGAAGGCGTTCAAGTAGATGTAAAGCCAAAGGATCTACATCAGGGAACTTCTGTGAGAAAGGAATCAGAGGTTTTTTGCGCATTCCATTTAAATATCTTTTAGCCTTTTCATTTCGGATCTGTAGGAATCAAGAGCTATAATCAAAACACATACATAAACATGGTAAAAAAAAGTTGGATTGATATAAGAAGGATATGTTTTTAAGTTGTCTAGTTCTAAGGATCGCATTAAATTCTTCTATGGTGCATAATATACAAATTTATTTTCAAGAATTCTCCGAATAACTCATGTAGTAGTAAAGGCCCCACAACCATAACCAGAACACAGAAGATGAAAAGCCTAGTTATGAGGTTTTAGCTCTTTGAATCACTTGTTCTCTAGTTAATATGATGTTCGATATTATTTTCATTCTTGCTATCAGATAGCTTGTTTCCTCCTAGTACGGATCTGTGCCTCCAGAACAACAAAGGAACTTAGAAATTCAGGCTGACTACAGTTGCATAGCATGCATTACATACATATATTGAAGCACACATAATTCTATTATTTATGTGGAGCTCTTCATGAGCAATGATGTACTTAAGTGCATATATTAAGTATTGATATTCATTGGTGAATAATTTTTCCATTCCAGCTAGCTTTCCTGCCAACCAAAGAGAGAAACTTGTACACATGTGCAAGGTAAAAATCAGAACTTGTGCTTTGGTTGTAAAACAGTATGAAATGATGAACAAACATATAACAGGAAACTGCAACAATAATGTAATGCTAATATAAACAGAAAGTACGGAGAAAAACCAACCCTTGAATTTGTTTCAGGAGGTGGAGTGCCAAGTAGGTCGGTCATGAGATCCAACTGATGCATCCTATACTCCAAATATCAATCGCAGGGGTGTACCGCAAGATGATGAGTAGAAGAGAAACAGATTGGCGTCATCCAAGAAGTATAGTTAAAAATTAGACATGCATGCGTACAACACAAAACATAATCGATTATCACACGGGTCATGTACATGAGTATATCTAAAATGAGTGCCAATCACCAGCCCAGTTTATTCACCATTAGCACAACTCTGTACTTAAGAATATTACTTGAAAGCAGAATAGGCAAGAATTAATGCAAATGCATATACCCAGAAAAACATTTTCATGACAACAAAAGAATTAAATGCAAAAGATAATATCTGATGAAGCCATAATAACAAATGAGAATGGCAGGGTTATGTTCTTAAATTGGGCAAAAAAGCATAAATTGTACGCGATATTACCTTGGAGAAAAAAGAGCCACATAGTCCAGGAGCACGGTACCATCGTGTTGCCACATAATCCTATGATGTGAAAATGAAACAAAGAGAATATAAGTCAACGATAAAGATTCAGCATATCATCTGCTTCTTTTTCTTCTTTCTTTATCAAGGAGACATATCATGCATCTTGGTAAAGCGTTGTAATGAAAGGATAAAAGAACAAGTTAGGCTATGAAGCCATGAAACAACTACTCAGAAGTCAAATAAAATCATAGGCGTCAAGGCACCAGTTTTTCACTTTTAAATCAAAGATAAAACTAGTATTGCAAGAGGAGAAATTCCATACCATCCAGAATATAGCCGAGGGAGCATCATCAAATGAAACACGAGCAAGACCAAAGTCACAAACTTTCAGTTTACAATCCGCATTTGCAAGAATATTTTTTGGCTTCAAATCCCGATGAAAAACATTGGCTGATAACCAACAACACACAACAAACAACCATTAAAATTGTTAGAGAAAAATAGTTATCAATGCCCAATCAAGCCAGCCAAAAAAGGCATTCACCAGTGTGGATATACTTCATAGCTCGTAGAAGCTGGTATAGGAAAAACTGATGGTGTTCAGGCGTGAGATCGTCATTTGCTTTAATAACTTGATGAAGGTCAGATTCCATCAACTCGAAAACAACATAAATATCTTTAAATTCTCTCCGCGAGGGAGGAAGCATTATGTGCCTAATTTCTACAATGTCAGGGTAGCGGAGCAACCTAAGCACCTTGATCTCTCGCAGGATGCGAGTAGCATCCGAAACATGCTCGAAGACATCGTTTATCTTCTTGATTGCCACCTTCTCTCCATTGTGGGTATCCACGTGTAAAACCCCGTAAATTTGAATATTTTATGATAAATTATGGTAAATACGTTATATAGTGAAAAATAACATATTTTGATATTTGAGTATGATAATAATTGATTCGAGATCAATTCAATGTATAATTGTGAAAATATGAGTGCAAATGCACAAGACATGCACAAAGGCCAAAAGAGTGAAAATCTGGGAATAATGACCAGTTAAGAGTTTTTATATTTTATACACCAATTCAGTTAGAATTTGGAAAAATGTAAAAGACCAAAGTTGTAGGTCTCTTCAATATATTTCTAACAAATCTTAGATCACCTCATTCCGAGGTCGTATGAGAAAGTTACAGCCAAAAAACCGAAGATTATTTTCCTAGTCAGACTAGGTTTCCTGTTTCGCGTCAAACAGTTTTGTTTCGGGTTTGTCTCTATAAATACCTATGGTTTTCACAAAAATTCTTTTCTTTTATCATATCTATGAACCCTAGCAGTCACCCTCTCCCCTCAAAAACCCTAGACCTTTTTCTTATGAGTTTGGAGAGCTTTGTGAAGCAAAAAACCGGCACGAGGGCGAGATCATCGACGTGTAGCGAGGGAGAACGAGTTGTTCATGCTTGTGGTTTGCTTGCTGATTGTTTCATAGCCTTGCACATAAGATTAAGGCAAGATCACTTACATCCAAACCCATCCCCATAGTTAAATAACTAGCTTAGAAGTTTATTTTGTGTTTACATGCTTAGATCTTAATCTAATGTGAAAAATATTAGATTTTTGTTGTTAGATCTTAAACTCATGTTAGATCTACATGTTTTTCTTGCTGTTTATAATAGAAATATGATCATGATCATTAGGGTTGTTTTTAAATTCGTTTTTATCTTGTTAATCATGTGCCAATCATGTTTAAACCCTAATTTGCCTTTTTATTGAGTTTGCATGTGGATTAAAGATGAGAAAACTCTAGGTTTGTGATACCTAAGTATTAAAATATAATATAATGAATGTATATCTTTCCTAAGTTGATTGGCAATCATGCTTATGTTTAATATGTTAAAAGTCCATGCTTTAGATTAAAGAATTTGGTTAATCTAAAGAAAGAGGTTTGATTCGTTATTTTTTTGAACTTTTATGCATGTTTTAGGGTTTTGAATACAAATCTAATGCATAAAATCATGTTTATAATTGTTGAGTTGTTTTCAGATGTTCATATCTGCTGTGACATGTTTGCATACAAGTTTCATGAAGATTTAATCATGTTTGAATCACAAAAACACGACGAGAACACGACATATACAAAGAACATGAGAATCTGGAAATTTGGTTCACGGTCGACCGCCACGGTCGACCGCCAGTCTGTTTGGCTGTGCATGATTATATTGTATGGTTTTGGTTTGTCGAGCAGATTTCTCGACCTTATGATGATAGACTATGATATTAGTGATTGTTAAACACCTGGGATGATGGTGAACTTCTGATGTGGACACGCACACCGAGATTAGCGCATGTATGCTAGATTGTGTTAGATTGACACACTTTCATCACGAGTTAAATTGATAAACATATATGAATAGTGTTGTTTTATACGTATCCGGAAATAGGGAGATAAAACCTATTTGTCGCAGAACGATTGAGTAAGAGTATTATAATAGTATCGTTATTACATGTATCCGGAATAGGGAGTAAGAGTATTATAATAGTATCGTTATTACATGTATCCGGAATAGGGACATAATAAAACCTATTTTTGCAGGGCGATTGAGTATGAAATTACGTTATTACATGTATCCGGAATAGGGACATAATAAAACCTATTTTTGCAGGGCGATTGAGTATGAAATTACAAAAGTATCGTCATTCCATGTATCCGGGATAAGGAGATAAAACCTATTGCCGCAGAGCGATTGAGTAAGAATATTAAAAGAGTATCACTATTGCATAAAGAGATGCACACATATATGTGTTATCAGTTATAGTTACTCCCATATTAGATTACCCATGAGTAGGGTACTTTCTTTGGTTCGTGGCATACATGATATGGCCTATGATGATCTTTTCTTTGAGTTGAACAATATTCTCTTATTATTGCGCCAACTACTTGCATGATATGGCCTATGATGATCTTTTCTTTGAGTTGAACAATATTCTCTTATTATTGCGCCAACTACTTGAGAAGTAGTTCGAGATTTTAACATTGGTTCTATGTAGTTGAGGCTTGGAGTATTTCTTTGAGTGTTGTTTCCATTCATAGAGTTGGATTTAGTATTTTGGGATTTATAATTTGAGACGTATAATATATATATGAGGGTTTCCTTGTTTGGATTATTTCGCTCGACGTACTACGTCTCGTCTTGTAGGTGTCTAAATATTAACTCCATTAGATACGAGGAAAATGATATAAGTAGACTATGCTTAATAGATAGAGCCTCCACTTTATCTAGCAGCCCTTCCCCTGGGGGCGGATGGAGGTGATCTTGCTGTAGCGCTCTGACGCTCTTGTTGTTGTTTTTTTTCGTTTAAATTGTATCTTTCAGACAAATCAGAGTTTCGGAGAGCCGCAGGATGACGGAGTTCTAGCATAGTCGCTGTCGCACGGTTTTAGCAGTTGAAGCTCCACTATATAGTTATGTTCATTGTTCAGATTTTAGAGTTGTATTCATTTTTATAGAGGATGAGTGCCTTAGTGAGATTTCATTTGACTCATTGTGTTGAGATGTATTTCTGACTCAGAGATATCTTCATTCTATTTTAGTTGGGCTCATTTGTTGATATATTTCTTCTGTGCATATCTGATTTTGTACTACTTTTATTATTTACCTGTTTGTACCTTCACCTATTTGTTGTTTCCACTAGAGAGATAATGACTGTGATGGTGAAACATGTCATAGCATGATGTTTGGTGCTTGACAGGTTTGACAATCCGGATTTCACCTTGGACTGCAGCCTTGTGTGAACCTTGGGGCGTCACACCACGGCCGAGCCGACGACCCCATAACTTCCCTTGCCAACCACCTCATGAATCTGGTATCGGCTCGCTTTGCCGTATTCAGTGAAGAAGTCTGCTTCATTTGTGCTCTGCATAAGTTCATAGCTTAAAAAACTAGCTACCTATCTTAAAGAAAATGCAGATACGGTTAAAAATCCTAACTTGTTGCTAACATTGAATGCTACAATGAATGTTAGCAAGAATCAAACAACTAGGTATTAACAAGCGTAGCAAAAATTCAACTTTTTACGGATGAAATAATCTCGTATCAAAATCGCGCCTATTCTCAAGAGTTGAAAGAGATCTAAGAGTCAAAACCGAACCTTTTTATCGACCATCGCCCTGCACTTGGGAACACTGACTGCTTTGAGACCAGTGAGATCGTAATCAACGACAACTTCAATCTCACTTCCTTCAACTTCTGTTTCTTTTCCCTCTTCATGTTGTTGATTGAGATCGATGAAATGGGTGGAGACGCTTTGATTTTGGCGCTTGAACAAGCGACAGACGCCATCAACGAACATGCCTCGGCCCCCCATTTCACTGCAGAAATATCGTGAGAGGCGAAGCCGTCACGAAAGGCTTGCTTGCGGAGCACTTGGCTAGTCATACACTGCATATTTTGCCTGCTGCAAGAGATCTCAATGGCGACGTGGGGGAGCGGACGACGAGATATGGAGGCGGCGATGATAAGAAGGGGGATTTTTTTAACTAGGGTTTAAATCGTTATTTTTGCGGTTAGAGGATGATTAGGATTTGTGGGTTTGTAAAATTCGGTTTCGGGTTTTAGTTGGGGCTTCAGATTTGGTTATGGGATTTGTTAATAGAAATAGGTTAATTTCAGTCCAATTATGATTAGGAGTCCCATCAATGAAGGTAATGCCCCCCTTTATTTTTAAGGAGACCCAATAACGACGGTAGTAGGATCAAATCAACGAAGGGATTAGAAAACCGTTATCCCATATCATAATATTTCTCTATTATTTGTAATCACTCGACGAAGGGTTTAAAACCCGTCGTTATTATATGCACATTAATGACGGGCAGCTGGTCCCTTCACTAATTTTGGTCGTTAAATAGCAGATTTTTTGTAGTGCTTGGACTACAGCCATGTGTGAAAACAGGGACGTCACAGTTGATAATATATGTGTTTTATTGCTAAATTTCATACTCTAAAATTAAATCTATTTATTTTTAGACTGGACTTGGCTGGAGGAAGCAGTAGTGGCGTGCAGAGGAGGGATATTGACGACGAAGATGAGTCGTGATTTTCTGTGGTAAGTTAGTGATTTTCTGTGGGAAATGGGTGTTTCCCATTTGATGACTTGGAAGCCTCTAATTGAGCTAATTTCCCATTTTTACAACTATGAACCAAACCAAAAATAAAATAAAATAAAAGCTCAAACTAAAAAAATGCTCATGTGGACTGGGTTGTCATAGTGGGAAACACGTTTCTTGACTCATTTTAGTGAATTAAACAGCACCTAAGTGGATTATATATATTGCATTTATGCAATTACCATATGTACCATGATTTGTCTTTAACCTCATAATGTAGATGATATTTTATCATATATAGTTATGTCTACTTTATAGTGATGGATTTACACAAGATCATGTTATGCTCAATAAAGAGTAAATAAACTCTAGTTTACACAAAGATATGCGCAAAACCCTTTTTTCCCCAAAAAAGTTTTGTATATAGGATTTACCATATGCTATGTTCTTCTTAAAGTTTGTAGTAATTCAAGACACTGTGAAATTTACCCATGAAAATTAGGTGAGCAAACTGTCGATTCAGTCAGTTTATACAATTTTTGACAAAACTAAACCATTCTATGTTTGAAACTGAACTGAACCGATCAAAATAGTTCAGTTTAGTTTGTGCAATATACATTTCTTCTCGCTCTTTCAGTCCACTAATACTAATTATCTCATTTAATCTCATTTAATCAAATCTATACACCTTGATCTACATCTAATCAAATAAATACATCTCTATCTACATCCAAGTTCAACCATTAATGGTGCAGGAGTCACTCTTACACCACACTAATGCGAATTATCTTGTTTAATTAATCCAAGTTTAATTAATGCATATATCTCTCTCTATATATATTAATCCAAATTCTTCTTTTCAATTTTTATGACTAATTTGTCAATTACTGCTCCCCCCCCCCCCTCAAAACCTACTTGCATTACATTACAATCTATTCTTAACTGAAAAAAGAAACTTATCTTTGTTAATCAGGTTGGCTGACTCTCTACATGTTGATATCATCAGTTGTATCGACAATGATCATTATTGAGTTGATTATGTATTGGATGGATAATTTTATATGTAAGAGAGAGAGAGAGACATGATATGTATGAGAAAACATGTGTTTGATGTGTTTATACTGTGAAGTGGTATGTGTGGTTGATTATAAGTTGTTTTGCGGATAGGTTATCATCGTTTGTATATATTGGTTGACTTGTAATAGACTAATTTGAGTAATATGTTATGTGATTTTGGATTTTGGATTGTTGATTTGAAAGCTGGATTTGCATATTTGGTTGGATGTGGATTATTATTGAATTTACAGGTTTATTGAATTTACAGGATTATTATTGCGTATTTGGTTGGATATGAAATTGAGGAAAAGAAAGCGCAAAAAAGTGTTGTTGTATTGTGAAAATCCGTCTAGGATGCGTCCGAGACGGAATTATCCTAGATGAAAAAAAGTCCGTCTGGGATAGATTTTTTAGAAGGATTTGTTATTTTCTTAGACAGAATATTCCGTCTAGGATGCCTCATTTTGTACAGGTGACAATAGCAAACCAACCATTCATACAATATTTCAATAGGCTGCTTCATCATCTCATCTGCAAAGGAGCTCAATCGGTTGATGCATGAGGATGAACCAAGTCTCCTACGTTAGAGAATGCACTACCTCCAGAAATAATGTCATGGATCAATTGTTTGCCTAAATTCTTCAATTCAAGTGTTAAAACTTTTAGTCAGTGTTGCTATGCGACCAAAGAAACATAGTCTTATTTACTACTTGTCCGTTTCAGGGCTAATGTTGGTTCTTCTGTGTATTGAGCTTCTTCAAGCCTTTCACTTTTCCTCTATCTTATAGCAGTATAACTCGAGTGCCTGTAGCCAAAAGCGGCTTAGAGCACATTATTTTTTCTAGCTAAATCAAACAAGAAATTGAATTGGAAATTTAAGGATTTGATAACAAAGAATATGTGGGTTTATGAACGGTTCTTTCTGAGAACCGTTGGGGTTGGTTTCACCATCCCTACGGGTTCAAACCGTTGGGGGCAAATTAGTTTACCCAACACGCACGAGGGAGGGAAATTTCCCCTTATTCATTTTCGCGGAAAAGAGAGAAAACCACGCAAAATCCCCCAAACCCCCCGTTCACTCTCATTAGAAACCAAACCCCCCGTGCGCCTTCTCTAAACACGACGCTGCCGCGCGTCGAGCCCTGAAGGTCGCCGCCAGCCATCGACCCCTGCGGTTTTCCGCCCGAGTCCTCAAAAAACCCTAGTTCTTCCTCCCCGAATCAGACCTCGCCGCCTCTCCGCCTCATTTTAGCCGGACGACTGACTTGTAAGACCTCTACCTCTCAAGCTCATTCTCTAAATCCATGGAGGCTTCCTCTGATGGAGATTCTTCTTTGAGGTCAGATGGTAAAGCTGGCATTTTCCTCACACTTTTCATGGAATCACTTGATTAAAGTTCTTATATCAGAATGCATCAGCATATTGAGTTTTACTATAGGATTTATGTGTGTTTGCGTCAAAAGTTGACTTTGTCATGGAATTCATTATATCTTCGGTCGATTACAATAAATTCAAAAAAAAGATAGCCTTTTTATAAGACTCCTTTTACACAACAAAAGGAAAAATTACAACTCTTGAGAAACAAACGCAGGATCGTTGTTTGGATCGCTGCTTGCGTGGGATCTTTGCCTGTGCCGGGAACGCTTTGGTTCGTGGACCACCAAATCACAGATTCTGATTGAATCGTGAGGGGTTTAATGATTCTTCCTTCGTTTATCGAAGTGAGAATTTGAAACGATATCTTATCAAAGTAAAATAGTCGTTCTTCTTGAAATCAAGTCAAAGCTCGAATCTCAAGGGATTGCCGGAAGCTCAAGAACTGCCCCGGCCCGGGAGACAGTAAATACTGTCTCGGGAATAGTAATTGTCTGGTAGTTTTTGTTGTAACTGCCTTCCCATATTTTCAAACTCCGTTTTTTTGGTAGTTATTCACGTGATTCTCGCCCACGATGTTCCCCATGTTCTTTGACAGTTAATGGCCACGTGTCGGCGGTTTATAAAACAGTTTCTGAGCCGTTGAAAACTATCTTGCGTGCGAGACAGCAAACGCTGTCTCGCGTGCGTGACAGCAAACACTGTCTCGCACTGCAAGACAGCAAACACTGTCTCGCGTGCGAGACAGCAAAGTCTGTCTCGCGTGCGAGACAACAAAGTCTGTCTCGCGTGCGAGACGGTCTATGTCCTTTTTTCTGACTTTTTGGATGAATTCCTTCTTGAGCTGTATTTGGATATCTTTCGGTATTTTTTAACGTCTACAGATACCCCCTCCAAAGTATTCCAGACTCATTCTTTTATAAAGGAGTATGTGATACTTTGGATAAGACAGATTCTACTTACGATCCCTTCAATGCTTGGTTGAGTAGATCGTGTAGAAGGATTTATAAATGGCTTCAACGCTTGATCTCTTCTTCTTTTAGTCTACTCAGTTCTTTGTAGAATAGCTAATGTTCTCCCGGCATCGCGTTTATCGCTTCACCGTTGTTGAGATCTTGAATCGAAGCTGGTACTTGTTCTTGTGGGTTCAGCTTTTGTCACTGAATTAATACATCTATTGAGAGCTCACCAGGTTATCCTTAAGAATATTCAGATTAATATTCTCCAGAAACTTCTGTTAGACCCTAGAGGGGGGTGATTAGGGTCTTATGCTAATCTAATCCGATTAAATACTAATTTAATATCAATTAATAAGTTATCCTAGCAAGTATGAAATACAACAAGATATGTAAGCTAGGATAAGCAATATGAACAAATGAATATATCCTATCAATGAGATATTACAAGTATATGAGCAAAGATATATAAACTAACCAATATACAAAGGCGATATAAGATATGAACATAAAAGTAAGTGCGCCAATGCAATCACAAACAAACAATATGATTACGGAGTTCGGTCCCCACGACCTACGTCTCCGCTCCTCACCTCGAGGAGATCTCCACTATCTCAACCGGGTTTTCTATGTTCACCCGAACAACGTTTACACCTCACAATACAATCACTATACAATCATACTTCACACACTAAGTGTTGGTCCTAGCCCGTATCCTCCTCCTCAAGTGCTCGGTTACAACCTCTCCCTAGGCACGTCAACCGAC